ACCACGGGACGATAAAGGGAATCCCCTATTCAGTCCTAACTTCGATCTGGTTCAGTCCAGTCTAGTCCAGTCCGGTTCAGTCCGGTGTGCGTCGAGTTTTCGCAATTTTCTCTCCAGTCAAAAGTCCCGTTGGAGATCCTTAATTGCCGCCGACGACGACGATTATGAAAATCTAAGATCATTCATATGATATATAACGCGCCAGTGTAAAAGACGCTTAGGAATGTGACGAGGATTAGCCTTTGGGAATCCTGCTGGGTGTTGTTTGCGCAGACATTTTGTTGCCTGTCGGAGTGATGAGAGACCGATGCTCCAGCTGCAGGAAAACGCTGTTCCCGAAGAATAACGTTGTCATTCGAGTTGCGGATCCGTAAACGAAACGATGTGTTTAGTGCGAGAACTTGAGCGTATGTTGGCAATTGTTTGCTATTAATACGATTAACGATTAATAGTTCAGTGACTCGAGTACTGTTACTGTGGTTAACTGTTGTGAACTGAGTTTTGGATTACGTTCCGGGTTCTTTGGCATCCTGGATTAGAAGCTAGCTCACAAAGGTATGCGTAGAAAAGCGACTTGTATACTTGTATCGTACTGCAGCGCGACTCCGAGTATTGCGTAACGCAAGCACGTGTAGCTGCTTTAACAGCAATTTGTCTTAATCGCCGCGATTTGACAACGGACATGCGACACTTCATTGACAATGTTCACGAGAGAGTTCAGTTCACACTTGTCGAATCTTATACTGTCGATTAGTTCCTCTTAAACTCGCCGATTTGCCTGCGGATATTTTTTCAAATGCTTGCCGTCTCGACTCTAGCATCAATCGTTATCAAACAATTAATATTTTCGCATATTCTGATGATTCTAAATACATACATCTCACAAAATATCCCAAATGTAATTTATCTATGATTATGGAAAACAAAATCAGAAAATTTACGAGTGCAATTGTTTTTTCAATGGAAAACTTTGAATTTATGCGACAGGCGATGAATGGTTATACTTGCCGATCAGTTTATGTCCTATTCTTTCAAACGCAGCAGTAATTACCAAAAGCAATTAACAAAAACATGTTATTTGTCAAGTGCGGTTATAGGAAGTTCAATTTGTTTGAAGAGACATGTTTTATCTATTTGCGACAAGTTATTCATTTAATAAAAAACATACCAAATAATGTTAATGTTATTGCCGCATAGCACTAGCAACTCCTTTCTCCACATATTCTTCAAAGGTGGATGCTATTAATTATCTTCCCGTTAGAGTTTAATCACGTTAAGTTCCTAATGAACTTCCATGTTTAGCTAAAAAGATCAACCACAAGCTTTTAAAGAGATACGATAAGCATAAGACACATCGAGGACACGTCCATCCAATCGACCGACCGGTCTCGCACACTCGTACGACGAAACAAGACACGACGAAACGGCCGACAGTTCGACATCGATCAGCGGCAGGATTGATGATCGCAATTACGATTTATCGTTCACGGCAGGTGACGCGCGACGATTCGCGCGTTCCTTCGGCTCCAAATGAGACGTCAAGCTCCGTTCCGGAGTTAACCGGTACCAGGTTGTCGCCCTTTTGTCGAGGGGTACGAACGAGATTATCGCGACGCATGTATACGCATTGTCACCCCCTCAGGAAAGGACAATCGTGCCGGCGCATTCGGCCACGAGGATTCTCTTCCGGTGACGCCGTCTGCGAACGAATTGGGAAAATATCGAACAAGAGCGCGTTTCTCTCGATCCTCAGCACAGGATCGTCGGCACCGAAAATTCTGTCGAGTAATGCAAGAATTATTATCCAACGCGTCGGACCGTCGGGTTAAAGGTAGAGAAAAAGAAGGGCGGGGGGAGGGGGATGGAAGAAAATGGTCGTTAAGCGTGCGCGCGAAATATGAGAAATGATCTGTCGACATTCCCGTGGCCGTGGAAAAAGCCGAACGCGGGCTTCAAAGAAGCCGTGGAATTGAAAAAGCCGGAGGGCCGCGCCATTAGATGCAGCGTGATAGAGCGAATTCCGTGCGACGGGGCTTGGTCGAAGGAAAATCCATTCCGACGGCAGAATCTCGAGCGTTGGGGAAAACCAGGACTTTCTTATTTACTCCTTAAAATGATAATCGTCAGCGATTGCGGTAAACTTTACACGACTGGGGACCAACTTTCAACTCTTCGTGCAGTCAACGCAATATCAAAAATCTATCGTGTGAAATTTGTGAAAAGAATTGGTATATTTTTCCTCTTAAACAGAAATCTTATTAGACGAATTGATTTTCTAGAGCAATAAGTATTAACAGAGTATTAACAAAAAAAAACGAGAATATAAAATATGTAAATATCTTGTATTGCAAAAATTCCCTTGCTAATTTTATGTAAAGAAAGAAAATCTGTCCTATCTTTTTCTCGACTGTAAATTGCTACTAAAGTATTGTAGCATCTATTTGTAACTTCTTTTGCTGCATATTTTATCTTATGATCCATTTCTCTTAATTGGAGAACGAGACAAAATTGCATTTGTTACATTTTCAATGCCTGCACATACGAAAAATTTCTACTGTGGGAATAAGGACGTGACAGAAATTATATTTTGTAAATATCTGTTATATAGCAGAGAGAAGCAAAAAGAGCACGGTATAATAAAAGACACAAAAATCATGCTGCACCGGTTAAAAATTATGCTTACACCAATTACGCGTGGCGCACACACTTCGGCGTGTGTGTGGCTGAAAGTAATTTCACCTCATAATTCCACCGGGCTTTAAATAGGCTTTACGTCGAACGGGAAGGGGCTGTTCTGACTTCCCTCAAATTATAGACGGCCATTATCGCGCGGTCGGCCTCGCATTTGGGCCAGACAATGGCCGCCACCACTCGTTAATGTAATAGGCATCCAAAAGGTACGAGCTCTCTCTCTCTCTTTCTCTCTCTCTCTACTGGGAGGCACTCATCGGTAGGAACACCGTGCAGGACGAAAATCCTCCTCTTTCACGGTCAACCTGTCCGCCGTTTCGTCAAGCGGACTTGCCCGGGTTCCAGGCAGCCCCCGAAAGAGGAATTATTATTTTATGAGATTATTATCTCTAATAACATCGCCCTGTTACGAGGAGAGAAAGGAGTACGCTTTTGTGTTCGACGGAAATGTTTCACACGTAGAAGTAGCTCGCTTGAGCGGCTCGATATTATCGATGTTTTGACGAAAGTTCAGGTAGAAAATCTAAGAGCCCTTTTATACTTAATGTTCTAACGAAATGTGGTATATTCTGTAGCACGTGATAGCCACAAATAAGAAAGTTCAACATCAAAATTCCTAAAAGTCAGCTGAAATGTATCATCGTATTCAATACTAGCAAAGCATGTTCAATTTTATATTATACGTTTATTGGTAAAATTCGTAAGCTAAATATATTCAGTTATTCTGTATTAAATATTTATTGTGCAAATTAAATCGTTAATCTTACTCACGATATCTTACTTTTATAAACGATATGTAACTATGATAGTGTAAAAATATTAAGTACCTTTAATGATTTTGATTAATTGAATAACTTTTATTAAAAACTCTGTCTCTTCTTATATCTATCTAATCATTCACAACATGCAAAATTGTTGTACAGTTTTAAAAAACAACATTCTGACGTCGAGCGATTCTCAAAAAAGGGGGCGAGCAATTTTTCAACTTTAAAAACTTTTATTGTTCGAATATAAAAAGTGTTACCTGTCTGACCGGGACGTATGGAAGTATATTGTATTAGTTGCCCGTTGCGCATTTTGGAAACCGTGAACGATTGGAACAGCCTTGTCCATGTTATCTTTTCATGCGTGCGCAAGGGATGAAACGACGCGATCGCGCGATTGGTCGTAGGGCGGGAACATACGTAGGGCTGCTAGAACGAGCAGGTGGATCTCCAACAACACCCCTCTTTGTCTCTCAATTAGTTAAGTTTTTCTCTCCCTGTTACCCTGAAAAATTTTTCCTGTCCGTCGCTAGCTGCCAGTTTTCGAGCGCCGCGCTTCGGGTCCGTTTCTGCCGAGTCACGAGTTTATTCGGTGAAATGTTCTGAATTTATTTTTTCTCACAATTCACGTACGCGTAATAAGGTGGTTGCGATAAACGATTAATCACGATGCTACTAATTACTTTGTTTGGGAGTGTGGATGCAAGAAAAGCGAAGATATTCGAGACTAACAGTTTTGTTGCGCGCCAATGAACGTGACAGTGATTTTAATACACGACTAGAACAGTAAACGGCTTTTTAAATAACGATAACCGATTGATAAAACAGTTATCTCGAAATTAAGTGTCGCAGTTATTCTATGTGTTATGACGTCGCAAATATAGTCAGATATGAATAAGCTCAACAATTATTTTGTAATTAAAGCAGTCGAGCGAGTATTAGCTTTAATTGCAGACATTACATAGACACAAACTTGATTGAAACGCAAACATTGGTCGATTTTCATCCCGACTCTTAATCTCTTACGTAAATATATATAAATATTCAAACAATTTTTATGTTCAATTATTGTAAATGCACATGAGCGCGTGTATGTGTAATTCTACTAATTTTTAACAATTTACTAATGCCAAAGGCAAATAATTAGAAGACTCTATTCTACAGTCTACTACAATGTTGGATAAAAATTATGGAATGCATATAAGGAAACCTGTAATAAGTTGTCGATGTCGTGTCAGATCAAAGTTGCATAATAGGATGGATAAGAAACCTGTATAACGTCGTAGTGTGCAATCAAACGACTAATTAAGTATTCTCGGGTGATCTCTGCGTGAACCTTGCGAACGCACGCGAACTTGTTTACGCTCGCTTATGTTTCATCACCTGCCGCATCAAAGCACGCGTGCTTCTCGCAATGAATCACATATGTAATATCGAAAACGCCTTAATTTTTCGTCGATCTCGCCGGGCTGCGTGAAACGCGATCTAGCTAAGTTTCGATCAATTCATCGAAGCACTCTCGAGCGTTTGTGTGCATCTTTGCAGGCGAATACATCCTCAGCTCCGGCAGTCAGAACGGAAGTGCAAGTAGCATCGTCGAAGAGGACGATCCGCTTCTCAACGAAGCATCGTTGGCTTTGGACAACCATCCCTTGGCTGACTTAACCGATGAGTCTCTGGGTTTAAACGACACTCTAGGACTCGAGCATGACTTTACTTCAGACTTACTCGGAGGTAGTCTCTTGGAAAGCGCCGGTGTAGAAGGCCTGCTCTGCAACGATACTCTGGGCTTTAATCTCGAGGAGGCGCTTCAACTCGTTGGCCTCGATGAGGCTCAACCAGAGGTTTGTGGAATAGCTTCGTAGCTTCTACTTGAAAGTACCCACAATTTCACTCTTTATGAGGAATAGACAATACATTAATATTTTATCTTTCAACGACGAGCTAGCTGCTTTACAAGACGGATCGTGAAACTGTAATCGCTTCTATCTTTGTAAATGGGCGATTAATCGGAATATTTTCATTGTTTACCAGTTGAAAATTCATATAAGATTAGCAAGAATTATTTTGACCTCGATAATAGTCTTTCTTCTCCACATACTCTCTATTTAAATATTATATTATATAATAATAATTTTTGTCAGCAAGCCTGTTATTTGAAACTGTGGTTGTTGAGAAAACGTATATTCGAAAATAAATATAAAAGGTAACGAAAGTCAAGGGCTAGTGTATATATGTACACGTGCGCGTGCGTCATCACTAGCGTTTGACTCTCATTGCCTTTTATATTTAGTTTCGCTTATTATCTACGGAGTCTACATTACTTGAAAACGTGTATGTGGTAGGACGGAATTTAATTTTGTACGATTAGTGCGCTGTGTTTGGCGAAGACGCGATATTGTGATCATTATATAAAGATTGATCGTTAGGAAACGAAGCCGGAAGTGAAGAAGAAGAAGAAAGACGACACCGCCGACGACTCCGCAAGTGCAGAGGACGACGCGGCCATTACCGCCTCGAGTAACGCCGAGGTCGCAAAGACATCCAGGTGCGAGGATCCAGAGACCGGCGACATGATTCACACACCGCAGTTTCATCATCCCCATCACCCTCCACATCACCACCGCTCCTTCCAGGTACGAGCGACCCTGATTTCATTGCCCGTAGATTAAAACCAAGGCCAGTGCCTCTCATTGCTGCATATACAATGTTACCGTGATTGCGACAATGTAATGATTTATGTACAAAGTACGCAGGCTATCGAACGTATACATATGTCGCCCAAGTAAATTAATGAAAAATTATCCTGAGCTATCCGACACGGTTTCTAATCGAGTGTCATGGATGATGTTGAATTATCGTCTCTCTATAATAACAGTCTTCAATGTCGCCTGATACGTCTCAATAATCTTCGTGTAAACAAAATCACTTGGAGGGAATTTTATTTTATTTTAAATCGCTTCGCGCCCAGCAGCCGTGTGCTTTGATACGACCGCGGTTGATAAATCGTTCGATTTGCAACGACACGTTCATCCAGAGCGACTCTCCTGCCGTATTTAATGCCACTCGCGATACGCGCAGCTGCTGCTTTTGAGAGACGCTGAAGGAGCTGCGGATGCCGTTGCCGGGAATGGCCACGGCGTTTGCGATTTTTTTCGACATTCCGTTAATGAGAGGTTTGGAATGGCACAGTGATACCACGCGGAGCAGCCGGCGATATACGAAGTAGGAAACAAACGTCGAGAAGATAAGAACCACGCGCAAAGCCGCACAGTTAGAGCGGCGTTTACGGTCCATAAACGGGACATTCTTTATTTACAACACCGCTGCGGCTCCATTCCCGCGGCACACCCCTCCCACACGTTTATACGTTAAAACCGCATGTTAATGTAACGAGGCGATTGAAAATGGATCGCTTCCGCGTGCTTTCGTACTTTTCATCGAAAAGTTTCATTCGTGAAAACTGTAATTCTCACGATCGACAGGAATGTCGCGTGCAATTAAAACAATGTGACGGAAAGAAAAACCATTTTAAGGGAAACTCTAATTTGGAGAAATCACATTTAAAGATTCTGTTTTTACGAAACACTTGGTGACAGCTACATTTTTAATAGTAACAAAAATTTTATACGTAGAGGAAGGTCTCCTATGATGAGATAGTAGGGTTTCTGCTAAATTAATAAACATCATCTGTTAGCTCCATCACGTATTTATTGTTCTTGAAATGAACTCTCTAAAAGTCAATCAGCTGATTATCACTGAAAACAGTGAATAGTCACTGATTTGCAGTTATAAGTATACCACTGAAAATCGCAGTGGCGTACTGTAAATCAGTGACTATTCACTGTTTTCCGTGATAATTCACGGATTGATTTTTAGAGAGAAATCTATTTAGTGGAAAATTTATTGTTAGATCGTTGCGAAAAAAGATTTGTGGTTGAATTTGGACTTTAAAAACCTGCTATCTCATAATAGGGGATTTCCCCCTCTATATTTTCACCGCTCTAATTACGCGTTATACGTGTTTCTGTAAAGTTTCAATTTGCAATTTAATTACATGTTGCGCATTCGATTTCTACACTTCCATTATCGATATTAAACTATCGTATATTTTCTAAAGTTTCGATGCGACTGCACTGTGTTATCTGTGTACCGATTCTTACACAAGTTTCATTATCCAGCAATCTAAACGCGGCAATCATAAACTACCATTACAACTCGTTGTTTTAATAGGAGTATTATGCTGTCATTTTGGACAGTTAGAACGCACTGTTTGTATTCGGTGGCACTCGTTGTCGCAGATTCGCGCGATGCGTTTTTACAGTTCGCATACACGCCGGCTCGTTGATTATAATTATTACTTGTTGGATTGCTTTGCGCTTGTATAACTCACGATATCACAACGTGATCTTTCCGGGAGACTTCATTTATGATTTATTACCAGGGACAATTTGTTCGACTATAATGTACTGCAGTGATAATTTGTACAACGGTAGCTAATTTTTTACAATTTTTAGAAATTTTTCGTTCAATGACACTGTTAATCATTTTCGAGAAAAAAACTCCGGTCTCCATAATTAATTCACCCTCAGAAAGGATTTCTGTTACCGAGGCAAAAAAATATTCTTGACGCGTTTATATTTCTCACAACCTCACTTAGTATAAAAATAAGACAATATGAAAATAAAATCAATAATTCTTATTCTCCTCTGTCGAATTAAAAAAGATTAATTTACTATATTGAGACAAAAGTAACTTATAAACGTAAGTTTATATATTCTGGCGTTTAGAATAAATTTCCCTCCATCTTGACACCGCGATATTCGACAAAAGACGATACATACTATCATTTTCTTCTAGATTTTAGAATTTTTTATTTAAGGTCAAAATATTCCTTTCTCTATAATAAATAGGTATGATTGGCGCTGTATCGATTCTATTTTATGATACATTGAAGTGCAATAGCATTGGATACGGAAAATTTTTCTGTGGGTGTACCTTCTTACAATCGTCTCAAGAAGCTAAAGTAGAATCTTTAAATTTTCTAACTTTTTCAAAATTTTCTCGCTCCCGGAGCTACGAGAAAGATCTATTATCATTTCTAGCACATACTTATAAAAGGTATCACTCGGCGTTTAAGACTCATTATCACTTTATAGCATTATAGAATTTTACAGCACGCGTAGAACAAGTTTTAGACTCGAATAGATCATGCCCGTTAGAGAAAGTCATACGTGTAAGCTTGCTTCGTAAGCCGTCTGTTCCGTTCGCGACGTGCATTTTACAATATAAATTAAATTTTATCGCAGACAGTAGCTGACCGATAATACGATTATATAGCAATGCAGTCATAGCCGTATATGTACTTCGTGATATAATAATCATCATCTTCTTATCTTTCCAATAACCCAGAAATGTGAAAGCAGAAAGATATGCGAAGAAACTAGTAATAAACTAAATTGCTTTTACTGTTTGCCCTTAAAATTCACATCTGTAGAAAGAATGCAACTATTTTGATACATGCATTCAAATGTTTAAATACATGCGTACGCAAAACATTTTACCACCGTATGTCAATACGTTTTCACGAATGATAGCAGAGACTAGAAAATAATTAAAACGCGCGTTGGACCCCAGAAACCCGTGCATGAGCGGGTTAACAAAGTACGCGCAAGACGTAACTATTCGAGACGAAGTCACGCCGTGGATTCGAAAGCATCCCGAAGAACCCCCCTAGAAAGCTGACGTTTCCCCGGACTTGAATTCCGACGGGCACATCGTACAATGCGTCCCGTCGAGAAATCGCATCGTTGTAGGAGAGAACGATCGTGACAATGACCTACCCGGGTAGTCCGTGGCGAGTCCGTCCAGCGAGAGACGTGACGCAACGCGTACGTGTGCAAGACTTGTTCGCGTGCACGTGGAGGAAGACGTCTGAAAAGCCCCGCCAATGGGAGAGGTGGCACAGGCCCCTACTACCGTGGAACCGCGGTGGACGCGATCGCGATGTTTGTGATCCTGGACGTCGGCGCTGACATTCGCGGACGACACGCGGTTGGAAGTGAACGCTAATCTCGCGGAAAAGCTGGGCTCCAACAATCGCCCGGGAAAAGGCGGGCTCGCTGGCGAACATCCGCTCCGCAGATGGACGCGATAAACGGTTCCGGAAGGTTTCTTTTATAGTCGAGCGCGATTCTGCTGATAGTGCGACGTTCGAACGGTTCTCGCAGAAGAAGAGGTGAAAAAAAGGGGGAAGTTAAGATCTTCAGGTAGACGCTAGAGGAGACCACGCCTTCGAGGATACCGACGAGTTTCCCGTGCAGACATCATCCGGGAAGACACTTTGTATTGTTAATGAAAAATTGGTTTTGCAAAATGAGGACGTTGGACTTCCGCGATCGCTTCGTTCCGACCTTGTACGTTTGACGAGCCGGTGGCTCTGCCACCAAGTTGATAATTTGCATAAAGTTTCGTACGCCCGCGGTCTAATCCCAAGGATCTCGTTGTTACGTGAACAGAAAATTCTACGATGCGTAATACGCTATCGAGACGGAGATTAAACTACGTGAGATATAAGTGCGCGAGTGATAAAGCCACCTAGTACAATGACTATCTCTATGGAACGCATCACGTTCATTTATACGAGGCTCGAAGCGATTTGAACGAGGCCGAGAAACCCTTCTCGCATCACTCCGTAAGGCCGCCCACGTTGAATACACAAATCTTCTCGTCTCGTGCCTTTCAAAATGATACTTGGTTTATCGCAGAATCGCCAATGGACTGAGACATTCGTCCGAGTGCAGGAATAACACCCTGGAATAACGCGATACAATATACTAACCGAAAAATCGTACCTGATTAATTAAGATTCGCACGCCGCGCGAATGGATGTGCGACTCTTGCCGCGGGGTGGAAGTTTCTCGTAAAACAAAAAGAGAAAAGTTGACCCTCCAACAGTATTTGATTAATTTCGACGAAGACCTCGGTGTCTAATTCGTATCTCGAGTGAAGAGGGCACACATGAACGACGTGCAGCAAGCCCTCGTAAAACCTCATCCGCGGACGAACGAGCACACGTGCCAAGGGAATACAGAATGTTGGAGTCTGATATTGGACGAAGGTCTTTTCCAGGTAGATTACACTAATTGCACAACCTATTACGATAACCACATAAAAATTCGTAATGCGATAACAGATACCGATAACCGCAGTCATTCACACGTGCGTAGAACGATCGGTCGCAAGGTCTCGGTGTGCAAGGCTCCGCGTGGAGAAAAAAAGATGTCTCGGAGCTAATAGCTGAGAATACTTAGCGATGGACTGTGCTCGCTGCGATTAATTCTAGAAACGTAACCTGTTTTTCTTGTGAAAAAATCTACGTAGCTTCGTACGCTCGACGAAACGCGCGAAATTAGATCGAGAAAAAATGTTAAAAATAACAGCTACTTTGCGCGAGACTCGTCCCGTTACGCGTGACAATGGCTTAAAACGGCGCTTATTTTTGCCGAAGCGACCGTATTTTTGAGGTAATAAGTGCACAGCTTTTCGCTCGGTTTGCGACACGTCGAGGAGCAGCGGCTCGGTCCATCTCGCTAAAATTTCCAAAATGATCGTCCGCGCACGCACGCACGCGCAA